TTTTATATCATCTGCTTTCAGTGACATTGCCTGCAGCATTAACTAAAACGCATAGTTATTGACTGCGTATTGCTACTAAAACGTTACTCGATTACAACTTGGAGATTCACAATGACGAAAATGGACGAAATGATAATTCGGGTGCTGTACGGAAGCGAGACCGGAACCGCTCAAGACGTTGCCGAGCAGATCTGGAAGAGCGCCAAAAGGTTTTGAGCATATTGTTCCTCTCTGACATATAAATCTGCTTCTCTAAGAAATTTTCTGGCACACAAATCCTACTCTCATATTTTTAAATGATTGTTAAACGACGTTATTTATTTTTATATTTTTAATGTTTCTAAAATTTCTTATATAATTAGTTTCTATAGTAATTTTTCTTGAATTAATAATGCCAAAAAAAGTTTATAACAAAGTTTCATCACATCTCTCTTTTCAACATTCATATTATTTTGAATAAATTGCGATTTTATATAAAGAAATAAAACACACATGCACAATAATAAAAAAGGACAAAACAAATGTATCTTTTATTCTTTATACGCGAAATTATTTTGTTATTTAATCATGTTGAATAAAATTTTAATTTGATGATTTATTATAGATAAGAAAACAAAAAATAATAATGTTTTCTTGTAACTCCTCTTTTATTGTTTTTACTTAAATAGCAATAAATTTTCTTATTAATGATCTATGCTATTTATATCTATGATATTAACTATCTTATCAAAAACTTTTTATTACTCTTTATTTTTTGATATTTAAAATATGAAAATATAAAAATATTTTAATTTAGAGAATAAATATTAGCATTTTAATATTTTAAAAATAGATATTTTGTTTGAAATTTTAAAAAGTTTATAATGTTTTAGTAAGAAATCAGAAAATATATAATAATATTAATATTTTATATATAATTTTATAGAAAAGGATTACAAAGCACCGTATCATCATTGGATGATTACGACATTCAAAATCTTTCTTCTGATCAACTAATTATCTTCGTTGTCGCAACGACTGGACAAGGAGATCCTCCAGCCAATATGAGACGATTCTGGAGACAACTACTACGCAAGAATCTTTCAGCAACCATGCTCCAAAATCTAAAATTCGGTGTACTTGGATTGGGCGATAGTTCTTATTCCAAGTTTAATTTTGCTGCGAAGAAATTAAATAAGCGCCTTGCACAATTAGGTGCTAAAGAATTGTTATCTATTGGACTTGCTGATGATCAGCATAATCTAGGAATTGATGCTGTGGTTGACCCCTGGATCAAACAATTATGGGAAGAAATTGCAAATATTTTTAAAATTTCTGTAGAAGACAAAATAAATGAAGAAAATTTGATAATCGAGAGGTATGATGTATCCGTAATAGAAATGAATTCACTAATGAATACAGACAAACGATTAACAAATAATATGTATCAATCAAATAATGATATTTATGTACAAGAAACATTGATAAATAGCGATATTAAGATAGGAACAATAGTTGAAAATATAAGAACTACTTCTGAAGATCACTTTCAAGATGTTAGATTAATAAAAATCCAAGCAGATAATATTAAATACGATCCTGGAGATGTTATTTATATCAGACCGAAAAATACTGCAGAACAAGTGAAACAATTCTTTGATATATTACACGAACACAATATAAAGCTGTTTCCAGATACGATAATTCATGTATCGGAGAAAGAAATAAAAGTTCCAATTGTTTTAAAACGAAATTTAACTCTAGGAGAAATTGTTGAACAATATTGGGACCTGAACTTTAAGCCACGAAGATCTATCATGTACACTTTATCTCTTATCAGCGAAAATGAGTTGGAGAAAGAGAAATTATGTGATTTTGCAAGTCCAGTTGGCCAAGAAGAACTTTACGATTATGTAAACAGACCAAGAAGAAATATCCTGGAGGTTCTTGCAGACTTTCCTCATACAACCAGTAAAATGAATATTAAATTATTATTTGAAATTATGTCACCTATAAAACCACGTCCCTACAGCATTGCCTCTAGCCTAGAAGCTACTCCAAAGAGTATTCAAATTTTAGTAGCAGTAATTAAGTTTAAAACTAGATTGATGAAGCCAAGGTTTGGTTTATGTTCGAAATGGCTAGCAAGTTTAAAGAGTAACGACAAAGTAATATTTTGGTTACAAAAAGGAACTTTTCGTTTTAATAATGATAAGCCGATGATTTTAATTGGTCCTGGAACTGGAGTGGCTCCATTTAGATCCTTACTTTTAAAGAGAGCGAAAGAGGAAAAAGATTTAAAGGAATGTGTCTTATTCTTTGGCTGCAGAAATGAGAATAAGGATTATCATTGCAGAGAAGATTTTGAACGTTTATCAAGGGAGAATAATTTGAAAGTATTCTGCGCGTTTTCTAGGGATCAGAATCATAAGATGTAGGTCATTAAAATTTTTATTATTATACAAATACAAAATTTATTTGAAACTTATCTTCAAATTCAATTATCGCAATATTTTATATTTTTATTTTTTCTTTTTCAGTTACGTGCAACATCTTATCCGTCAACAAAGAGAACTATGCTGGCAATTTTTAAAGAATAATGGTAGTATTTATTTAGCAGGAAGTTCTAAAAATATGCCGGATAATGTGCGCGATGAATTCGTTAGTTTGGTAAAGGAAATTGGTAAGATGACAAAAGATCAAGCGGAAATATTCATCATACATTTGGAGAAGAGCAATCGTTATCAAAAGGAAACTTGGGGTTAATGAAATATACAAAATCATTGAGATTTAGAAAAAATATTTAATACGCAAAAATATATGTTGATTATATAAAATTTTACATGTAATTTTACATGTAAAGACGAGATTAATAATACATATTTAAATATCAATATGATTGTTTTTAAATTCGTTGAATATCTCTGTTTTTCTCAACTCTCAGTGGAATTCTCGTAACAATCATAAAAGTATACAACATTAGCGATTGTTTACGCAAGCTAAGCAAGCTTCACTCGATATCTATAAGGCATGAAAATGTAATTATCGCTGAAAATAGATATGTGCGCGCGCTGTTCATGTTAGCTGTAATTACGTAACATTTTTTACACAGCGCTGTTTATCGCTTTATCTTCATCCTTTTACTATATCAATCGTTTAAACATTCATGAGATTGCATTCGATATTTAGGGCTTTATCCATAATCATGAGTGTATGAAGACATCAACCAATATGAATTCAAAACAAAAGTTATATGCTATGTTACACGCGTGATTAGTTGGTTCTCTGTGTTGCAGATACACAAGTCCATTAAGATAAGCCTTACGAGACTCATAATTGATATAAATTATCGATTCTGCTCGGTTCGTTTTTTCATCTTACATTCACTTCCTGCGTTGAAGTAAAAGAGAACGAACTCAGAGAGGAAAAAAGACATGAGATGGAAAAAAAAACAGCCGAGCTCATGATGCTTATGTAAATAGGCGAGAACGCCGCGCGTCATCGGGCGTGATTTATCATGCATGATTTATTAATATCAACTGCGCGTGTCGTTCCCTCGCATTCGCAATCATTCGCCGACGGCCGTTCGAGGTGGTGAGTATCTCGTCGTTCTCCGCGTCGCGGAGTCGAGAATCGAGATCAGTCGAGACGACCGTCGCGCGCGCGCATTTTTACGCCCTCTTTTTGAACGTCGCACCTCGTGGGCGCTCGGCTCTCCTCGGCATCCTTCGGCGCCCTTCGGCGGCGCGCTACGCATATCTCGATGAACTCGTAACCCTCCGCGACCTAACCTAGTGGAGTATCGTGCGGTACGGAAACATGGTACGACCGCTCGCGTGCCGCCTTCCCGTAGTGCTCTTTGTATCTCGAACGATCTCGACGCGACCCCCTCCGTCGCTGACTGTACCCTTTCCTTTTCTCTCTCTCTCTCTCTCTCTCTCGTGCGCCTTCGTCTCTCACAGAGTGCGAACGAAAGGCAAACAAAACACCCGGAACGTCGCTCGAACGCTCGGCCGATGGACATTGGCACGTGATTCTTTTTACTCGCCACGCACCGCCCTCCGATCGGTCCATTAACGTTAATCGCCGGCAATAAGCCTGGCGAATCGCTCTCCTTGGTAATCAAGCTCGAGACGAGCGACAGGAAAAATAAATCGCCCGCGGTGTAAGGTCTGTCTTTTTCGTCGGCCGCACGCGCCTGCACTTCCCTTAACCTGCTCGCCCACTTTGCTGCAAGACGCACACGGAATATACACTTGATCTTCCGTTTTATTATGAGATCTAGACCTAGTAGAGGAGAATTTAATTATCACTCCCGCATTAATTGCCTATTTGAGCTGTATTGAAAATATTTTAGCATGAGGTACAACCCTCGAGATAAAATTCCTCGATTGCTATCTCGAATATCTAGGTCACTGTATTAGAAAGAAGATATTTTCTAATTAGTTAATTGATCGTTTTATTTAGTATAATTTTTCAAAAACCTTAGTTTACTATTGATTTTTTTAATTTATGGAAGTATCAAATATATCTTAATTATCAAACTATATTCAGATTATATTTGTATAAAACAATATTTTTAATGTTATTGCTAAATCCCGAAAAATGTAATTCAGATTTATATTTACTATTTAGAATATTTTTTATATTTTTTATATTTTGTGGTTTTAATATTAATAATTCTTTGCAATAATGTTTAAATTTTGAGTATTATATATTTATAATTTAAGTTTTTAGGATTTAAGAGTTTTTTTATAATTATTTTGACACTTGCCAGTATTTGTTAGCATATCAATAAACCTTTAATAGTTTTATAAAAGTTTATGTACAATGTCGCACATCATAATTAAAACAAATATTATATTTTTCAGGTGAAGATAAGGTCACGTGCAGAAAGTGGTAAAGTGCAGAAAGTGCTGATGAAGTCACATTCTTTCTGGACCGGTCGTGGACAGATACATTAAAGTCGTCGCAGTCGTTATTGAAGTCATTATTGAAGTCAATAGTGTTTAAAGAATCTCTTTCATAACAAAAAAAGATCAAGATAAAAAGAAAAAAATGGCGGGCACTTACACGAAGAAAGAATTTGGTATGGGACCTGAGGAACAGACTCTCCTGAAAGACTCCAATGGAACCCGCATCGTACCTTCCAAAGGTAATGGGACCGTTGCACGCCGTCTGTCGCTGTCATGGCTACAGGGGAATGCAGCGGTTTTCTTGGAATGGCTTTGTTGTGGTTTATTTTCCCACTGTACAGCTGCCCAAACCAGTCTGTAAGAGAAGCTTTCAGGCTATGGACTTAGCATTCTTGGCATTGGCAGTGAAGTATTTGTGAGTTTAATACTGGTTCATTATTTGTTGGACTTGATACAAAATACATTTTGATAATTCTAATTTGATAATAATTTTATAATATGTGCAAGACAGACATAAACAGATTGGTTTGGTATAATTAGCAATTTATAATATATGTATCATATGAAATATGATTTAAGACAATCCAGTGAAGTTCAAGATAATCTTAGATATCTAAATATATTTGAAATAACTTGGTTTATGGAACAAAAATAATTTTATAACATTATCCCATCAATATTCAAATTTCAATATTTAAACTAATTCTAGCATATTATAAATTGATTCTTAATGATTGATAATTATATTAATTTTTGATATATTAATTGATTGATAATTATATGATTTTAATTTGATAATAATGTATTAAATTAAATTATAGTTTAATAAACTTAATGAATTATTTATAAATCACATAAATCTTAAAAATTGTTAGTGCATTTTTTTAATAGTTTTTTTCAAATATTATTTTGTTATCACAATCTACTGTAATCAGTTAAAACCTGATAAGATATTTTGAAAATAGAACTTTTGATTTTTATTTCAAATACTTCAATGGTTCTTATTTGTTATCTTATTTGCTTTATAACAGACAACTATAAACTCACTTAAAATTCTTTAACTTATAAAAACTTTTATAAACACTATATATATAAAGAAAAAAATTGATTTTAGATTTATTAAATGTATTAAGATTAATGAAATGTATTAATTTATTAAATGTATTAGATTTATTAAATACAAAATAATTATAAAATAATACATGTAGTGTAAAACAATTTATATCTTTATTTGAAAAATCTTAATATGTTATACATTATTTGTACATTATTTGTACATTTTATATATTTTTTTTCTCTGTTTCTTATTTATTTTTGTTTTATATTTGTTTTTCTATTGCAAAAAACTTTATAACTTTTATAAACTTATAACTTTTATAACTATATACAATTTATAAACATAAAAACTTTATAAATTGTTATTTTTCCTACACTATTAATAGCTTATTATATGATGTAATAATTGAATAATAATTATTTTGCATGTATAAAATATAACATTATTAAAAAATATTATTGTAGTTTTAGTAAGAGAATCATATTCTTTCACGTGTAAAGTTTCATTTTACTGATACAATTTGCTGATTTAGCTAAATACATTTGAGACTCTTCTCTGCAGTCACTACAATCGGAAGCAGTGAGATTGAAGTGTTTCTAGTTTTAATAGCAATCAGTAAAAATCATTTGTGGTTTTAAGTTTATGAAGCAACAATATATTTGTATTTTTTTATTGTTTATTTTGTGTTAATATCTTATTTAAATATAAATATTTAACTGCAAAAAAATGACTATAGAAGGTATATTACAATCTTTTTTTTTTTTTTAATGAATATAAGAATGTAATTCTTTACATTATATAATAATTTATCTTTACATATATATAATGTAAAATAAAAAATATTAATTTTTTTTGTTCAAAAAGGTTGTTTATTCACATTATATTTTTATTTTTTTATTTATAGTTAATAATTAACGTTAAATTACTATATCATAAATATTGTATTTATTATATTGCAAACAATTTTTTATTATTTATTACTTTTTAACATAAATTATTATTAAAAAATTTTGTGTATATACACAGCATATTCTCAAACTGCATCAATTGATTTTAATGAATCAATTGATTGTGATGTTCCATTGTTGTGACTATATATAATTATCTTTCTGTAATTAAATATTAATTATCTCTTTAATCTCTCTCCCTTTTAAATATTTCTCTGTATGCCGACTATATATCATAATTTTTATTTTTCTTGTACACTTAAGAACTATGCTATTAAGTTAAATGAAAATTATATTTTAAATATCTTTAGATTCTTTGTTAGAATTATTTTTTGGAAAAATTGTTTGTGATTTATAATAAAATTTATTAAATGTTAAACTTATATATCTTTTTGAAATATATATATTCGTAAGAATATTATTATATTTAAAGGCGGAAAACACTGTAATATTGTAAATGATATATATAATGTAAAATATTTTGAATATATCCTTATGATTAATGTATTAATTTGTATTTAAGGTTCAGAACCTGTTCGTCTTTCGCCGGGATGGGAAGGTACAGGTAGACCCGACGACGAATTGAACTTTAAAGGCGTTACAATGGATCAAGCAGATCTCGAATTAAATCCACCTAGAGATAGGTATAGTTATATATTTATTATTATCTATTTATGATGAAAATTATATTTTTATATTTTATTTTAGATTAAATTTAGTATTTTGTATATTGGTACTTCATGGAATTGGTGCCTTGATGCCATGGAATATGTTTATAACAGCTAAAAATGTAAGTAAAATAAAATGATTTATAATTGAAATTATATATATTGAAAATAACATTATTTATATAAAAATATTTACAGTATTTTGTCAATTACAAATTATCTAAGGAATATACTGGTATAGAAACAAACTATGCGATGAATTTTCTTGCATATCTAGGATTTGCCTCACAAGTACCGAATTTGTTATTCAATTGGCTAAATGTATTTTTACAATTTGGGTGTGTATACAAAATATATTTCATAACAAAGTATATGTTATGTATACGTTTATAACATCAATAATAATTGAAATTGTAAATGTAAATTTTGTTGATTTTAATTATGTATTAAATAATAATAATAATATCTTGCTTTTTTTTTTACTTTTTAGAGGCAATTTGACAACTCGTATAGTATGGAGTATCTTTATTCTGGTCTTGATATTTGTGTTTACTGTCGTCTTGGCAATGACTGACAGTTCTGGCTGGCCTGGAGTATTTTTCTGGATTACTATGGTATCTGTTGTTATATTAAATAGTAAGTAATGACATATCTTATATTGACATATTTTATAATGTTTGAAAAAAGTATTATTCAGCTGAATCAAGAAATTATTAAAATTTTTCTAATTTTATATATGAAATCTTACTTTATTATTAATTTATCAGTAAGATTATTATATGCATAATAAATTATATTAAATAAGATTATGTTAAAATTATTATGTATTAAATAATATGTACATATATGCGCGCGCACGCGCGCGCGCGCGCACACACACACACACACACACACACACACACACAAGATTATTAACATATCATTAGTCATTAATTATTAATTTTTCTTTTAATCATGTGTAATATATTAAAGATATATGTTTTAGCTGCCAATGGCATTTATCAGAATTCGGTATTTGGAATGGCAGCTAAATTGCCTATCAAATATACAGGTGCTGTTGTTTTAGGCTCGGTAAATAATAACATCAATTGTATTCGAAATAAAGATTGTTGTATAATGTAAAAACATTTGCTAAAAATGTTTGTTATTTTCAGAATATTAGTGGAACGTTTACAGCCATAATAGAATTCCTAGCTCAAATAATGGCGCCGAACGCGCGTACTGCCGCCATATACTACTTCATCACGGCTTTATTTATTCTGTTGGCTTGTTTTGACACATACTTTGCACTTCCCATTAATGTAAGACTTACTAAAAATTTATAAATCCATGAATTAATCATAATTTTTTTAAAATAATGATTCAGTTCACTTTTTGAACTAAATATAAAAAAATTAATGTTAATAAACTGAATTGCAGAGATTTTATCGATATCACGAACATCTTCATCAGAAAGAAATAAATAAGAGACAATTAGAGAACAGTTCAAGGAAACACAAACCAGCATATTGGACGGTATTCAAGGCGTGTTTTCCACAATGCTTTAATACATTTTTAGTCTTCTTCGTTACTTTAGCGCTTTTTCCATCTGTCCAATCTGATATACAGTCTTCAGATAAGAATTTTATAGTTCCATCTGAATATTATAGCAGTGTTATGTGCTTTTTAACATTCAATATCACTGCTATGCTGGGAAGCTCAATTGCATCATTAGTCCAGTGGGTACGTAAATTTCAGTTTCACATATTGCATATATTTTGTATATTATTTTATATTAATATTTTTTGTATTTTCTATATTTAATTTTATCATATTGCTAAAATTACCATATAATCTTAGTAATATGATAAAATTTTTTACTTTGATATGTATAATTTTATTTCATTCATAAATTTTTTAGCCAAGCAAGAAGTATCTAGTGATTCCAGTAGTTCTACGACTTGCTTATATACCATTGTTTTTGTTCTGTAATTATCAGCCAATTGGTATAAAAAGAATACTACCAGTATTTATCAATAACGATTGGATATTCTGGGTCATTGCTGTTACTATGGGTTTTAGTAGTGGCTATCTATCATCATTATCGATGATGTATTGCCCCAGGTAAGTAAATTAAAAAGTAAAAAAAAATTAAAAAAAGAAATAGAAAAGATTTATATAAATTTATATACAATAATATATAACAATATTATACATACATACATACATACATACATACATACATACATACATACATACATACATACATACATACATACATACATACATACATACATACATACATACATACATACATACATACATACATACATACATACATACATACATACATACTATAATATATAATATATATATA